TGTGTGTGTGTTTACAGCAGTGTCTGTGTGTACGTCTGCATGTATCTGCTTGTATTCATAAGTTTTCTGTTGTGTGTGCATTCAGCCAAGGTGTTGATAGGAGGTGGAATGTCACATGGCGGGGGATGGGATAAAGGGATGAAAGCAAAACAGAGAGAGGAACAAGTGGGAAACAAAAAGAAAACATGGAGTCAAAAGTAGCAGGGGCTCAGTTGGTGTAGATCTGCCCTTCAGGTGGCTGAGGAAGCTTCATGTTTTCCTTGCAGGTCATGAGCCGTCGAAGCTCCAGCAGCACCATCCGGATACTGTAGGAGTTCTGCCACTTGGCCAGCGCAGACACTGCATGCATGTCAACCTGCAGGGTGGAGATGGATGCAGTTAGACATTGTAATTATCCCCCATCTTGGATTTACCTTTTTAAAGCACCAAAATGTTTTTAAAAATGATTTTTTTTTTAAATAAATGTATTTCATTGTTCAGATCCATTATACCGGTATTCATATTTATTTTATTTTTATAGAAACTGATTTACTGCTGCTTTAACCTGCAATGTGTTTAAGTCAAGCTTCACACATTAACCTTGGGCATACAATTAGAGGGGAAAAAAAAAGCAGAGCAACAGATGAATGAGCACTGACACGCTTGACCAAGTGAAATGAGTGCAACCACCCACAAAGAAGCGAGGAAGTCATGTTATTTACGTGCAAAAAAGGGGACCTTTGTATCTATTCCATTTCCAAATAGACTAGTGTCGCTTCGCATGATCCATAGCTCACAGCGATCCTTAATGAACTACCTTGGTACAGCATCTCAGTTTATCCACAGACTGAAACAAGCAATTTTATCCTTTGCCCCCAGCGTTTTGCCACGTAAAATAAAAGGTTTGAGTAGCAGGTGGGTGTTTAAAGGTAGAGCAGTGTGCCTGAGATGACCATATTAGACAATTAATCTCTTATAATATTATATGGCATTAAAAGTAAAAAAAATTTTTTTTAAAAAAGTCTGAAAGTATAATGTGTGTATAATGTGTGTGTATGTGTTAGTCCCCATAGGGAAATAGTTCCTCTACATTTAACCCATTCACCCAGTGAAGCAGTGGGCAGCCACCAATGCAGCGCCCGGGGAGCAGTGTGTAGGGACGGTACCTTGCTCAGGGGTACCTCAGGGTAGCCGTTCAGTGGAGTTGAACCCCCGACCTTCCGATCATGGGGCCACCAGTCTACCTACTGCCCCTAAGTGGGTTTTTAAATAAGAATGAGGGCTGAACTGGCCCTCGTCTTTCTTCCTAACTTGCATGGTGCTCATGTAAGTTAGGAAAAAAGATCCCACATATTACCAATTTTTTGAGATCTTTAAAAAAATAAAAAATAAAAAATAAAAACTCTTGGAAAATCCTAAAACATCTGAATAAAGATCGAGATGTACATAATGTAAATCATCTATTATCGTCTTGTTCCATGGAACCAATGGCCGTCTTCTAAACAAGATGATATGAACTCATAACCAGACAACTGGGACGTTTAAGGAGTAAATAAAATCTTATATTGATATTTCAGCCAATATTCAACCAGTAAGTGAGAGTATTAAACAATAAGATGATACGAAACATATATCCTGACATATCAGTGATAGGCCAGTTTAAGCTAGTTGATCAGTTGTTTATCTGACTCCACAGAGCAGATATGATGCTCCTTCCACAGAGTGCATCCAAAATGAGCCAATCAAGCTTAAGAATAATGATAAATAATTCACATACCACACCGTTGGAGGTGTGCACGCCATTCAAGTTTATCTTTGTCACAAATCTGACAAAAGGTGGTGATTCTGGGTATCCTGGCCCGCATTCAACCTTCAGATTGTACATCCTGTTTTCATAGCTTGTCTGTTGATCAAAGGAAGTTAGGGAGAGGTGAGAAGACAGCACACCGAACTTTGAAGAACAAAAAAAAAAAAAAGTACACAATGTTCACTATGTGCAACAACATCATGTGAAAACTAAGGCAGGAAATACCCTTGTAGGGTTTTTTTCTCCTGACTCACAAAGGCCCTGGGGAGAGTTTAAAGAGTCTGCGGTACCTTGTTTTTACACAAATCTGTGCCTTTTGCTTTAATCTAATCAACAAAAATGTCTGCTATAATTAACATAACTGCTAATTTTATTACAATTTTTGGCTCTGGCCAAAACATTTGGTGGCATGCCAGAATTTTTTTATGCTCCCTGCATACAGGCTGTAACTGTGACAGCACTGCTGCAGTTTTACCCAGTCACACAGTAAATGAATACACTGTAAATGAAGACAAACTGGCTGACCCAGCTGCAATCTAACATACGGTAATGTCCATGGTCCTGTGAAAGAGGTCCTCAAAGGACTGTAGTCAATAATTTAAAAACAGCATTTTCAATAACAGTCTCATATAGGTCATTTCAACTTTACAGCTTAGCACTGAGCAGTGCTAAGTATTTATAAATACCTATAAATAAAAATTAACTAAAAAGATACTGGGACATCTGTCAGCAGTCAAAAACAACATTATGCTGCAAACTTATGCGATATTTGGTCTTTAGTCAGGAGTTTAATTGTGCTTCTGCTTCACATTTATTCTGTTTTAATTCAAAAACATTCATTCAAAGCACTGCAAAGTAGTGTTAGTGCCTCGATGTTTTCCTCTTCTTCACATGGATGACCTGATTTGCTCCCCAACATCATGCCATGCACAAATCAAACCTGACACCTTTGGTTTAAGTAACTGTTAATCTTTTGGCTTGGTCAACACTCCCCTGCCCCTGCAAAGTCCTCATCCAGGTGTTTAAAATGGCACCACTAACCCTTGGGGGGCCAAGGATCACCCCTCTCCATCGTGTTAAGGTCATGTCCTCATCATCCTCCAAGCCCCAGCTCACCGTTCCATCTCCCACACCTTTCTGACCTTCCTCCAGCTCTTCCAGGAGCCGGAAATTGCGAGGAACTTTAACGCCTGTTTGTGGGCAAACACACAGCCATTCAGTCATGCAAACTTCCAGAGCCACAGGTAGATTTACGAAGCTAAATAAAACTGCCAGCAGTGTGCCAGACAAAATGACTTGCAGTTATGAAGTTATGACTCAATAAGACAGAAAAAATAAGGGACGCCTCAGCTGCGCAGCCTACGTGAGCCTTTTGATAACAGCAGGTGTTATTTTCACGTCCTGTGAGACTTGAGCATCTGGCTCCGGCGGTGCCGCATCACTTGGCCTCCGCAGTGAGATACGACGAGGCTGCACCCTTAACAGAGCCATCCAAACAAACCCAGTCACACTGCCAGCTGCTGCAGCATTTCAGCTCAGCTCACCGGCGTCTCCAGAGAAGCTCAGTGAAGCTCAGCGCAGGTCATGTTTCCCTCATGAGCTCTCGGAAAACGTACAGTCACTGTTTACGTTTAACAGCCGGGCAGGAAGACCGTCTTACTGCGGGATTCACCCGCATTTCTTGATGACATTTAAGTAACGCTACACACCCGGTTTGCAACACATCGCGCCTGTAAATAATCTGATGTCGCAAACAGGCTGTCATTTTCCGGTGGGGTGGCGGTGCTGTGGTTTGACAACAGGATGCTGTAATTTAAGCAGCATCCTAAATCAAACTATTAAATTAAAATGTATAAATGAATACACAAATGCATAAGCAAGTTGCAATGCCTCATATTTGCTGATGGCTGGCGAGTAACGGCTCCACGCCCATAAAACAGCACTGAAGTGAGACCTGCTGTCCTTTTATCTAACTTAAGATAGCTTAGCTGCTAGCATCGCTTCCTATTCATTCTCCTCAGCTTTGTTTTAGCTTCTATGTAATAACACAACATAGCACAGCGCCTCAATGCAGAATCCATCTAATCATAAAACCTAACAGGTACGCGGTAAAAATTCATTGATAACACTGTTCAAAAATAGCTTTTCGCAGTGATTAATACGTCTCAACCGTTTTACCTGATCCGGCGGCGACCGCCATCTTGTCGCTACACAGCGGGAGCGAGCACGCACTTTTACCATTGTAGCCAGCGGTGCGTGCGCGAGCAAGAAGACAGCAGCGGCGCTTCCTTTGTTGCTTTAAGCAAACTGATTAGCTATGTGGCTGCATAAAACGGAACTGTTATAATAATAATAATCATTATTACTATTGTTGTTGTTGTTGTTGTTGT